GTCAAGAATCATAAGGTACGACACTTAATAATAGTCATAGGGTACAATAAGCAGTCAAATCATACTAGGAAACAGTCAATATAAATTGTAAGGATACAAGCGACAGAGTTACAGTCATACAGTCACAAGTGGGAGGGGATGGGTGATAAGGAGTGATGAGAAGATTAATAGTAATAGTACTGCAGACTTTGTAATAGTTGAACAGTGTTGAGGGAATTATGTGATCATGGCTTTCAGGAAAAACTGTTCTTGTGTTTAGTTGCTCTGGTGTGCAGTGCTCTATAGCGTCGTTTAAGCTAGAATTTTAAATTCTACACAGAAGCCTATAGGAAAAATACTAGTCAGTATCCTGGACAGCATACTGGACAGCTATTGCATTTTGGGCAAATAACATACACAAATAGAATATGTTGTAGTAATCCAAACAAGACGTGATGAGGGATTGAGTCATTGCAAAGTCCTGATTTTCAGGCACTTGTTCATGCAGGAATTGTGAGTGGAGGACAACCCATAATTGCAGACCTGTTCCCTCAGGGTAGTAACCCCAGTTTCAGAGTGAGTTTGGACTCAGATGAGGAGACAATGAACAGCCAGTTCCAAAGTTGCTGGATGAACCACTGTCTGAAGAGACAATTGCTGCCCATCCCTGAAGATAAAGAGTCTGAGCTTCTAACCCAGTCTCTGGGTGCCTGTACTCCCAATTTGAAATCTTGTGACTTTGTTTTTGTACCCCGATTGGTTGACAAAGTTTCTGCGTTGTTTTGACCCTTGCAATTTGCCTGACCACTCTTCTCCATGAAAGCTTCCTAGATGAAGTGGTTGGTCAGATTCAGGAGAACACTTACATTTTGATGCATATTTGAGATAGCAAACCTCTGTGCTCAAACATATAACATCATGGTGTCAAACTCATGGTGTCACATTGTCATCACGTGACATAACACGACTTTTCCCCTCTTCACTAAAATGGGGGTAGGCATGGCCAGTGCATGATGCATCCAGTCTATGGGCCATGAGTTTTGACACCCTTGAAGGACATTTGTCTGAGACAGAAAAAGATCATTGTTGGGAAACACTATCTGAACCATTCTTGCTGTGCAAAGGGCAACTGTTAACTAATTTACCTTTCTTGGACCTTTGCATGTGTGATAATCAGTCTGGTAGTATTCTCAGCTAACCGTTTTTATTTAGCAGAATTGTGTTGCTTTTTCCTGCTGTTGAATAGTCACAAGAAAGAAATCCTACCCAATCTTTTCTAATTTGATGTAATGGAATGTGTGAATGATCCTGGGCCAGAAGAGAAAGATATGCTGCCTAGGGAACAATTAAACAAGAGAGAGAGAGAAACCTGCGGTCACTTAATGAACAGAGAAAGAATTTCAGAAAACCGTTGCCCTAATTGATCAGACAATTAAAAAGTAGTGGCAGGAAGTTTGTATCTTGAGACTTGCAAATACCTCTTCCTTGTTGTTTGATATCTATTTACTGTGTTTTGGTGAAATTAAAAAAAAATAGATGTTAGAAGGAATAAACTGCTTATCCATTTTTAAAAATCATCTCAAAAGGAGGTAGGAAAACCCAAAGACAAGGAACATTATTTTTACAGGACACAAGATATCCTGTTTTTGACAATATATTTATAGCTGATAAAGTCTTTTTGGTGATAGAAACAGCTAAAAAATTAGATTTGTGCCTTGAAATTTCAAAGTCAAACAAGATGCTATTTCAGAAAAGAAATATCATGGATGTATAGGTAGTCCTTGACTTACAATCCTAATGGATCCTGCCTATTTCAGTCACACATTGTGACAGTAGTTAAGAGACATTCTCACTTGATTGCTCACTTAATGATTCCCCCCACCCGTGCTATTTTTGCAGATATAGTTAAGCCAAGCAAAGGATGCCTCAGATGGGGGAAGCCCTGAGAGGCGTAGTGCACACCCGGGTCAACCCCATTGCACACCCAGGTCAACCCCCTAGTGCCACACCCAAGCCTCCCCCATTCCGTAAGGCAACCTACGCTCCACTCCCACCATGTCCTCACAGGCCTTGCTTTTCCACCTGCTCGGTCTCAACCCCTCTCCTCACTCTCCATCACTGATTGGTACTTCTGTAGATCTCCTGGAAGCTCTGGAGATTGTGTTGGGGAAGGAGAGCAAGCCACTCCGCCTCTCAGCATCCCTGTGGCCTTTCTCAGAATGGGAAAACCTAGGGATGCTGAGGGCTGGAGCGGCTTCCAGAAGGAGATCTGTAGTAAAAGATGAAGATTGATCAGTGATGGAATGTGATGATGAGGGTGTGGGACTCAGCTGGCTGGGAAAAAGGCCCAAGACCTGTGGGAACCTGAGGGAGTGGAATGGGGGAGAGCCATGCAGGGAGGCTGCTGCAGAATTTCTGCAGTCTCTTGTAAGAGCAGACAAATTGCCAAGTGCCTGAATTTATTCACTGTAGGTGTGCTATAATGGCCATAACTTTGAAACCGGTGGGGGTCTGTTGCAGCTTTGAATTATAAATTGAGGATTACCTGTATGGGATATATAGATTAAACAGCTTGAAAGATGTTTCAGTGTAGACATTATTTTTTTTATGGCAGTCTTGTAATTTGTTACTTAGTGCACAGACCAGAAAGCTTTCAGGGCTATCTGAATGATAAATTATCCATTCTGTAAAAACCAAAAATAACCCTCTTTTTAAATCTTAAAATAGCAAAGAAAAATGGTAGAGCCAGATATATTTCCAGATCATGGTACAAATTTTTCTTTCCTCCTCAGATTTTTTTCTTTGAGACCAAATATTTGAAAAAGAGAATTATTTTCTGCCTTACGTTTGAAAAAAAAAAAATTGCTCAAGAAACGTGTAACAGAAGAACTTCTGCAGGACTAAAAACAAGAATGTTTAAAAATGTATAAAATGTATTTGCATTGAAATTTTCTTTGCTCTGACATTTGATCTGGTTTTACATAAGGCAGAACTCCTTAGAGATAAAACTGCAAAGGCTACAGATTGGATAATAATAAAAGATATAGACTGAAGAAAGCTTTATCAGGCTTGAAGTTGGAAACCACTGGTTCTATCTCCGTGGTCCAATTCAGGATATGTACAGGACAGATTCTGTATAAATCACAGTTGCTCATCCAGGTTAAGTTTTTAGAACAAAACCTTGATATTATCAAAGTTTTGCTTTAAATATTGGATGGATCAAAAGAAAAAAATCAATTCTTGGAAAGGGAAAACTATTCCAAAAGTATCCCCAAAGGATACTAAACTTTGTCAAATCAGCTGTCCTTTTGGAATTACTATATATTCCTTGAAGTTTAATGTAATTGAGTTCAAGATAAGATCTTGAATTCAGTAGGTAGTTTTGATTGGAAGATACCTCAGATTTAGATGTGTGATTCCTTACATGCTGTCTTCTCTTTTTGTGCTTTATTTCTTGAATCTTTTTTAAAAATTAGAATGTTATATACTGTACATAGTGAAAACTCTAAATGGCTGAAGATGACTGGTCTTTGAAATCTCCACCTTAAATTTAAAAATAATACATATAAATGAATCAAGTCTTTATTATAGTCATATACCAGCAGATACTTCATATCAGGATTTCTTAAAAGCGCTGCCATGGTGCTCTTAGTGATGTCAGAAAAATCGTGAAGATGGTTATATGCCTCTATTTATTTATTGAGCAAGTGGGCTTCTTTGTTTGCTTTTTTAACAGCATGTTATAAAAAGAACACCTTAAATGATTTCACAAAGTATTGTACAGAAGCAGCTGGTGAAATGTTCATTCTCTTGTATATTAAAAATATTTAATAAATTATGTAATATTTTCTCTTATATAATGCCTGAATATGGAACTTGATTAAAAAATGACCCAGATTGGGATCTGAAAGCATGTGTACCATCGAATTTTTGGTAGAGTTAAAGAGTATATTTTCTGCTAAGATAAATGTAATTATTTGGATTTGTTTTAGTTTGAGACTGTCAGTTGAAAAAACAGCAAGAAAAAAAAAGATAAAAGAAGAACAATTGGTTGAATAGAGAAAGATTGATATATCTACTAGTTGTCATTTGATTCTTTCTTACAAATGCTCTGTCCATCCTTCTATAACTTATAGGATTGTTGTATATAAATATGAAAAAAACTAACCCAGTCCAATTTTATTTTAGTGCAGATAAATTTGCATTTAAACTGGTAATGCCAGATTTTTTTCATCCTGGTTATATATCAGAGTCTTGTATTCAAAGCAATTGCCCATTGGTGATTTGTATTTTTAGAACTAGATTCTTGACAGAATGCAGGCACGCTTTCTTTCCTTGTTGCCTTCTTAGAGTTGGCTGACTTAAAACATAATAGCATCAGTGCATTATGCAATTAATATATTTTAATTACCCATGCAAACAGGAGGAATAGTTCTACTAAGTGACAGTGAGTGAAACTTGCTAATCCAGGAGGTATATGAAATCAAAACAACATGAAAAGCTACATTTGTGAAAAGACATATATATTGGAGAAAGTTATGGATGATAACAATGTTTGCCAGAAGTCTGACAGAAAAGAATTATGCATAGAACCCTACAATACTGCAATAAGCAAAGTTTGATGAGCACCATGTTCCTTGTTCAATGTGTGTTCAATTTTTATGAATTCTGGTGGTCTGGTACATCTTTCTCTGTGTTCAGAACAGAACATATTTCTATTTCTTTCTACTATCCTAGCAATAATTCCTGCTAAAATTACCTGGCAAAATAAACATATTTTAACCGTCCCAGTTTAACCATGTTAACCATTTGTGGTACATCAAAAAGAAAGGACAAGTACTATTCGTTTACAACAATAGCAAAATATCTTGTGCTTAACATTTCCTTTACTTTATTCTAAAGCTGTGTTTAAATGACTTCAGTTTCAATGAAAATATATCAAAATTTTTAAATAAAATCAATAATTTGTCTTAAGTTATGCACATGGTAAGAATCTTTATACATTTTTTTAAATTTTTCAGGAAAGAAACACAAAGCTGAATATCAGCTTTTAATTGATCAAATGAAAAAACGAAAGAAAAACACAAGCAAAGAACAGATGAAGGAAGAAAGACCAGAGCAGAAAGAAGAAAGACCAGAGCAGAAAGAAGCAATTACTGAAAGTGGTATTCAATGCTAATTTTTATTAATATAATTTCATTAAGTAAACAAAAAATAAAACATCAATTTCCATAATAGTTGATTTAATGAACTTCTAAAACACCTGTCCAATTTTGTAAATTTCTAGCATTGGAATTGCATCCAATTGAAAGGTGTTGATGAATTTTTGGTTCCTGCGTTTCTAATTCCTAATGTTGCTGTTATTTTTTCTTTTTTAAAAAAAACAACAACAAATTTTATTAGTTTTTACAAAACAATACACAAACAAACAAAGCATAAAATATAATAACATAAAGGATCTTTTCTGAAAAAACCAATATAACATCTTATTTAGAAACAAAATACTTCCAAATTATCACATTTCCATACAAACACAATTTAATATATATATTTACATTATTTGTTCAACTTCATATCTTATCCCAACTTCTCTTTATTTCTCCCTTTCATTCTATTATTCAAATTATATTTCTTGCTAATAAAATTTTTATTGCTTTTCAAGGACAATACACAAACAAATAAAACATAGAACATAAAAACATAAAACATCTTTTCTGAAAGTTGCTTGGTCCCGGGTTAAAACTCTTCGTACAGACACAAATTCAAAAATCATATTCATTTTATATACCATTCCATATCTTATTACCATTTTCAATTTTCTATATAGCTTCTTCTCTCTTTTAACTTTCTTAGTTTTATTTTATTTATCTCATCTCAGTTCAAATCATAATACTTATCATTCTTTGTCTGTTCTATTTCCAGCTATCCATTCATCTTTTCTCTTTGAACAAAACTTCTGTACACTGATTGGAGTATGACGCCTTTAATTCTTTCCCCTAACTTAATAATACTTAATATAACACATAATTTGTATTGGGATTCTGTTTAGTACATTCTAAAATTACGCAATGTATTTTATAAGAAAGAAAAACAACAACAACAAAGGAATAAATTTATAGGTATATAATGTAGCTAAGACCACTATCAATGCCATTAAAAAATTAATCATACATATTAATACTCATTTATATCTTAAGCATTTTATTGTAAATACACATATAAAAACACAATCTTATGTACCTTACAGAATCCCTTTTTCAATTAAATTTACCCATTATCTCTAAATGAATTTTGTTTCTTTAAATCTTGCTTCCCATCATTGAGGCTTCTCATCCCTTCCTTTCTCCCTTGCTTATTCTTCTCCTTACCCTTTTTACCCCTTTGTCTCTCCACCTCCCTTTTCTTCTTCTGCTTTCCCCCTTTCTGTTGTTTTCTAACCTTGTATCCACCTTTCAACTCATTTTTCTCTTTTGGTTGTTTTTTCAAGTCTTAAAGTCCCCTTTTTCTTTTCCTCTTTCTCCTCCCCAAATAGAATCACTTGTTCATCAAAGATGGCTTCTTCTTTATCCTGCTGCGCAGTCAATTTTTCATAAGTACATACCGCCATTTCTAGAAATTGAAAAAGAGTGCCCAAAGTATCTTTCCCTTCTTGTTCTTCTTTTTTGTATTTTTGATATTCAATTTTTAATTCATCCACAAACGATGCCATTGTAAAGAGAATTTTTTTTTCCAAACAACCACCCAAGTGCTTTTAATCAAGAATAATTTCCAAGGGTTCCAAAGTCACCAAACAATCCAAATAAGCTATTTCTTTTAGCACTTTTTTCTTTCTTCCATTTCTCTTTCTGGGGTTGCTGTTTAATCACAAAGTTCCAATTAAGATATATCTTTTTGAAGTCTTATTAATGTTCAATAGCTCTTTAAAATTCTAGGCAGTCTCCTCCTTGTTTTCAAATTCTACTCCGATTTTTTTCCTCTCCCTTCCCACTTACAGCAAAAAAGTTTTTTCTTTAAATATTCAGAAATCCATATCCCTTTGGCATTAGCATTTAGCCTTTAGCCTTTAGCATACCTCCAGTGCGGGTTTCCGATTTCTCATAAAGTTCTATCGCTGTCACGTTTGGAAGGAGAGTGAAAAGAAAATTTTTTTTTCCTTTAACTTCCATTTGCCGCTTAGCACAGTCTGGAAACAATGTATCTTTAGTAAGTTTTAAGTTCCAGGATACTTTCACTGTTACTTTGTCCCGGTCAGCAAAGATCACTTTCATTTCTTCACAGCTCCTCCTGCACTTTCTTTTTCCGGCTGAGCTCTTCTATGTGGCGGCCATTGCTGACCGCCGCTCAGCTGCCTTTGGAAAAGGGGGTTTAGCCGGCTAGGGAAGAGAGGTGCGATATCTCTCGACCCTGCCAGAGCCCCCCTATCTTCGCCACCTTCTATGGAGGTGGCTTAGCCCCGAAGCCAAATGGCTCAGGGCACTCGGGCAGTGAACACAGGCAGAAACCGTGTACAGTCGCGGATTCCTGCCTGCTCTGAAGCGCTGCAGACCGGAAATCCTGTTGCAGTTATTTTTTCTCATGGTCTGAATTTCTGCTACCCAGCTGATTTTAATTTATGATTTTTCTTTCTAGCTAATTTATATGCCTTCAGAAGGTATTCTGTAGTTGTGGAGATTTATTTATATAGAATGGCTGAGATGACTCATATTAACAATGGATGAAATACAGACATTTTAAAAGATCTTCAGATAAAGTTTTCTTTTGCTCTTATATCTCTGATTTTTGTTGCCGATATTGTCTATGGGGTTTGTTCCCTCAGCTGTCATGGACCTATATTTTCTACAACAGTTACTGTGAATTGCAGATGAATGCAAATTTTGTTTCACTAATGTATCAATCTGTTTTCCATAACTTTCATCCTTTTTCTTTCCAACTGTAAATAATGTCTAAAGTTAAAATAAAAGTAGTGATGTAGGCTTTAAAAAACTTTAAATTTAAGTGGTCTAGATCCTACCAATAATATTTATAGTTTATATTTTCTCCTCTCCTTAAACTTTCCTTAATAAAATCCCATCTTTTATTGTCCTGATTCCCTTTTTCCACATCTCAAACAGAAAAATGCGATTCAGACAATTCTCAGCTTGATCTTTCATGAGAATGGAGATCTGCCTCACCCAGAGATGTTTGTCATTCTGGGGTACTAAAAATAGATTAGTGAGAAAAAAAATCAGCAACTGTAGAATCCAGATGCAGCATAACAAAATTGATAAAAGTGATGGGAATATTTTCTGAATGCACTCTAATTCTTATTATAAGGAACATGTTGGTATGGGGCATATTTGGCAGAACAATAGTTGATGATAGATGAAAAAGGAAGTATGTGAAATGATTTAGAGCAAGATGCATAGTTATAAAGCAAGAATTATAAATTTGTTTAACTTTTTGATATAAACTAATAAATTTAGAAGTGAGTCAGAATTCAGTCATTTCTCGGTTTTTATACTTCTCTTGGATTTTTAAAAAATATTCTTTGAGTTTAAAAAATGGTATGAAAAACTGCATACAACAATTGTATATTAAGGAACATTGCATGCAAAATGTACATGTATATAAAAAAAAATTGTTAAAAATTCCACTTCCAAATATTGTTCCAAAGCAATTTCAAATTGTTTTGGAAGTTAGCGAAAGGACTAAATAAGGAGCTTCCCGCAGAGTGAAGAGAACTAAGTAGAATTGAAATGGAGCCTTATTTTTTAATTTCCAAGGGGAACAAATGATGAAAAGGAAATTATAAATGCTTTCAGAATATTGAAAAATAGTAAAACGACAGATATAAATGATAGAACTGAAAAAAAATGTGGGTATGGTTTGTACAAGTGACTGTCTAATTCGATCAATGTGTATATTAAAAAGCATCTGTGTCTGACAGATGAAAAAAATGCTGTTACTGTGACAGCAATGAATACGGGAATCCATTGGAAATAATTTACCAAGCATATCTGGAAAGTATTTGGGCAAAATTCTGATCCAAAGGATACAAGAAATGACAATAAACAAATTTTGGAAAATGTAATGCCGTTTAATTTTTCTTGGAATTAAAGACCATGTAGCTCATCAGTAGATCACTGAGAAATTTGGACAGGTCTTATGATAAAGTGAATAGGTTTGAAATATGGAATATTTTATATAAATCTGGAATTGTAGATTGGTTGCTCCTTGTAAGAGAGATATACCATGGAATTAAATCACGCGTGAGAGTAAACAGAATGTTATATGAATATTCAGTACTGAGTCAAGAGTAAGAAAAGATATGCGAATATTTGGCTTTTTAAAGTATTCATGGATAAACATATAAGAAATATTGGCCATGTTAGTTAAGAACACAAATGTGTAGGTACTTTTATATGCAAACAATTTCATTGCTGAAAAATGATTTGCAGTCTTTGTTGAATTATTAGATGTAATTATTAGATTTGTTAGATGTATTGAAGAATATATAATATAGTATGTAATGAACAGTATTAGATTTATTAGGTGTAATGGAAAGTATGGATGTGAAAAAGAAAATTATCAAACTCCAAAGTGACAGAAAACAGTGAGTGAATGAGTGGCAAGTCATACACATATATGGTGGAACAGTAAGCAAGAATGTGATTTTGGGTACCTTAATAGAATGCTTACTAAAGATGTGAAAATGGATGGAAAACATTTAATAGATGCAAATGTTAGTAGAAAAATAATGAGTAATGTGACACTTTCAAAAGAAATGAAGATAACTCTCTAGGACAGTTGAGTTCTAAAAAGTATGCTCATAGAAGCCCAGACCAGCACAATACTACTGAGAAAGAAAAACAAGAAATCCAAGAAGAAACCAGCATGGAATAGATAGCACCACCACTAGATGGATTCGCAACTGGCTGGCAAACCGTACTCAACGAATAGTCCTTAAGGGGTCTAAGTCTACATGGAGGGGAAGTAAGCAGTGGGGTGCCACAAGGTTCTGTCTTAGGCCCAGTACTCTTCAATATCTTCATTAACGACTTAGATGAGGGAATAGAAGGGGAACTTACCAAATTTGCAGATGATACTAAGTTGGCAGGAATAGCTAACACCCAAGAAGATAGGCTCAAGATCCAGATGGATCTTGACAGACTAGAACACTGGGCCATATCTAACAAAATGAAATTTAATGTAGAGAAAAATAAAGTCCTACACTCAGGCAAGAAAAATCAAAAGTACACATATAGACTGGGTGAAAACCAGGCTCAATAGCAGTAACTGTGAGAGGGATCTTGGAGTCTTAGTGGACAACCAGCTAAATATGAGCCAGCAGTGTGCAGCCGCCGCCAAAAAGCTTATGCAATCCTAAGTTGTATTAACAGAGGGATACAGTCAAGATCAAGGGAAATACTAATACCACTCTACAAAGCCTTAGTAAGACCGCACCTAGAGTACTGCATCTAGTTTTGTTCACCACATTATAAAAAAGATGTTGAGACTCTAGAAAAAGTACAGAGAAGAGCAACCAGGATGATTAGGGGACTGGAGGCTAAAACATACAAGGAACGGTTGCAGGAACTGGGCTTGGGTAGTCTAATAAAGAGAAGGACCAGGGGAGACATGATAGTGGTCTTCCAATATTTGTGGGGCTTTCACAGGGAGGAAAAGGTCAAGCTATTTTCTAAAGCTCCTGTAGGCCAGACAAGGAATAATGGATGGAAACTGACCAAGGAGAGATTCAACCTGGAAATAAGGAGAAACTTTCTGACAGTGAGAACAATCAACCAATGGAATAGCTTGCCCTTGGAAGTTGTGGGAGCGCCATCAGTTGAGACTTTCAAGAAGAGATTGGACTGCCATTTTTCAGAAATGGTGTAGGTTCTCCCGCTTGGGTGGGGGGTTGGACTAGATGATCTACAAGATCCCTTCCAACTCTGATTATCTGTATTATCTGTAGTTTATTAAGTGAAGTAAGAGTTGATCATATCAGAAGAAACATAAAACTAAGTTGAATACAATGGGAATATCAGAATAACAGAGTTGGAAAGGACCTTGGAAGTCTTCTAATCCAACCCCCTCCCTAAGCAAATGACTGTATATCATTTCAGAAAAATGGTTGTCCAATCTCTTCTTAAAAACCCACAACTTCTGAAGGCAAGCTTTTCCAAGGATTAATTGTTCTCACTGCACTCCTTATTTTTAAGTGGCTTCTCTCCTTGATTAGTTTCTGTCCATTGCTTCTTATTCTACCTTCAGGTTCTTTGAAGAATAGGTTGACTCCTACTTCTTTGTGGCAGTTCTTTAATAGATTACTTAAGTGTGGATGGTAAAAGAGAAGAAATATGTCATGAATCAATGGGTGTGAATAAATTCAATGCATAAGTGAATGATCAGTATGAAAAATATGAGAGAAGTGGTTTGGCCATAAAGGGCTAATGAATGAAGATAAATCACATGAAGGAAAATTGGCTGAGAGGAAGATGATTATTGGGAAAGTCAATTAAATGGAGTTGATGAGATCCTTCAAAAGAGGCAAAAATAAAGTCTAAAGAATGAGAGCCAGTTGTTATATAAATGTAGTAGAAGCAAGGATGGTTAGCAAGGAAGTGATGGATGAGGAAATAATAATGAATTATGTTGGTATAAATTAGATTTACTGAGATCTCCTTTTTTTCTTATCTCCTCAGATTTCTTTTGCTTAATATTATTTTTCCAAACTTTGCATATTATTGCTCACAGTGAAAAGGAATGGCATGGCTGTGAGTGTATTGTATCTGAAATCCAAATTTAAAAACAAAAATACTTTTATTTATGAACGGATTCATTTTTTATACTTCTATGGAAAACTTCTTATTTTGCACTTTCGTCTTGGCAGTCACTTCATTGTAAGGATCTAAATCCCAATTGTTTTTAAGTTAACAAGTTTGCTTTTTTGGCCTGCTACTGAATCTTGACATTTTCAAAAAAAATTAATCTCTTTATAAAAATAAACAGAAATAGGGTTTTTTGAACCTTACTATTGACATCTTATGTAGCCCTTGAAGCTCCCAAAATCCGAAAGGCTTCCAGGAATAAAACTTATTGCTTTTAGTTTATCCAGCAATAGTATTCTTCCTTTGTATGGGCAGAAATCTTATTGGGTGGAAGGATATCAAATTTATGGTCTGCAATCCTTTTGCAATCCATAACTTTGAAAAATTGATCAATATTTCTAGATAAAATAATGAAATCATACTAAAAAGATGGTTTTCAAGGGGAGAAAAAATCCAAGGTGAGAAAACATCCAGGATTGCTCTAGTGCAGTGGTTCCCAAAGTGGGCGATACCACCCCCTGGGGGGCGGTGGGATGCCTTAAGGGGGCGCTAAGAGGCTGGCAGGGAGTACTAAGAGGCAGCAGGGGGGTGCTGGAAGTGAGCCCCTTGCAGGGCACAATTCAGGGGTGGGATTCTACCAGTTCTCTCTCTCTCTCTTTCCTTCTCTCAGGCTCACCCCATTGACTTGGTGCATTGCTCCTCTCGGACTTGCTTGGGCAGGTCCCTTCAGTACAGTGGGCTCAATGGGTTGGGCCTGCAGGGCTGTCACCTCGAACGCGGCAGTGGCGGCACGTTTGAAAAGTAGAGCAAAGCCAGACTGGCTTTGCTCTACTTTCCTGACATGCCTGCAGGGCCAGTGCCTCGAAGGCGATGGAGGCACATTGGGAAAGTAGAGCAAAGCCACCGGAGCAGTGCAACAGTCAATAGGTTGAGTCTGCAGGGCTGGCACCTCGAACACAGCAGTGGCACATTGGGAAAGTAGAGCAAAGCCAGTGGCTTTCCCAATGTGCCGTTGCTGCGTTCGAGGCTCCGGCTCCACTGGCTCACCCCATTGAGCCCCTTGCACCGCTTCAGTGCAACAGTCAATGGGGTGAGCCTGCAAGGCCAGTGCCTTGAACGCAGCGGCAGCGGCACATTGGGAAAGTAGAGCAAAGCCACTCTACTTTCCCAATGTGCCGCCGTTGCGTTATTTATTTAAAAGGCTGAGGTCGCTTTATCAAAAAGAGCTTTGTTGTGATCTGAAAAGCTTCACAAGAGTAAGATTTTTCTGTCCTCAGTGACTCAATGAAGAGGGAGCAGCTTTCTTTCTTCAGGTTTGCTAACCTCTGTGTGAAGTGTGGGAAAAAGTGTTCTTGATTACATACTCATTCATTTCTCTTGCAGTTTATTCCTTCTCTTCCAATATCAGAAAGGCATTCTATCATTTGAAGTCTTTGAAGTCTAGATTTGTATAATGTGGGGTTTTTTTTTAAAGTTACAAAATAACATTCTATAAGGTTTAGCAATAAGTAGTTTAAAGGATGGATTTTCAAGGTTTTATGCAATATAGAAACTAGTCGACCTTATGTTCTTAATTATAGACTAAGAGAATAGATATTTTGAAGTAAATGTCATTTGAAACATTGCCTCATCAATTTGCTGATGGTTGTGCTGTAATCTTTTTGCTAGGAGAAAAATTAAGGGTTCAAGAGCAAAGTGATCAGGCCTCTGTCAGCAACCATTCCCCCGAAACAGAAGCTGCAGCCTGGGAAGAAAACCTCTCTCTTTTTGCTGCCTGTCAGTCCTCTGCATCTTCAAACAGGTGTGTATATGTGTGTATGTATGCAGTGTTGGTGATTAAATAGGTGGGCCCAAAATGTGTTGAATGGGATGAATGCTTGAATACAGTTGAAATTACTCTGTACCTGTTCTGACCTAGGCTTCCCCAACAGCATGAAGCTGACTCCTCGTTCTGATAAACCCCTTTTATTTAGTTTTCAGTGAATTCCTCTCCAGCAAAGGCACGGCTAACAGTCTTTCAAGATATTTCACAATTACAGATATTTATCAGGTTTGGAGAGCTGCCAGGCTGATATCTTTCAGATGCCACACTGTAGCAAACAATACTTGGCAAGGATGCAGGAACAGATCTTCACCCAAATGAACTAATTGTCTCTTGCAAAACCCACTCTCCTTTCGCTCCTCTTTTATTCCCTATGGGAAGGGCCATTCACTGCCCACCTGTGGCTTTACTCCCAAGTTGACCCTTGTTCCTTAGATGTTCCCTTCTTCTGTCAGCTCTGCACATGTGCACACTGGGAACAGGCTCCAGTCCAACTTTGTCGATGTCCAACTTTGAAGGCAGCTGATAACTGTCAGACGGCCCTGGCCTCTTCTCTGCTTCTGACGCAGAGCACTCATTAGAGCCTTCCCTAGACTCCAGGACTGGCCTGTGTTCCTCCCCAACCTCCTTACTGTCCGAATCTGCTGCCAGCTCCGCTGGCTGCTGGTAGGCTACAACAGTATCTGGCAACAGTTCCCTAAAACTACAATATACAGTATAACATTTCCCTTAACTGCACATTTTATCTCTGGAATGTGAAATTATAGTGTAATATGCAATTGCATTTTCTGATACATAGAAATTCATAGTCCTGTGACACTCAAGGACATATATGGTGAGCAGTGTTTCCTATTTCTTTCTTTTTGACATAATCCATCTATCCATTTCAGCTCTTTGTTACTATTTCTCCGCTCTCCTATTCAGTGTTTTTGGTGTTTTGCAGATTTATTGCATATCAGGTATATATTGCAGCATATATAACTGTGCATATATAGCTGTGTATAACGGGATTCTTTGCTCTTTTTCTCTCATTCGTTTTCTGTCTAGCTGCATTCTGTATTTGGAAATCTCTTCAGATTCAGCTACTGTTTTCCAAGACCCATATTGAGTTGTCCTTTAGGAAAACAGAAGCAGCCTTGCTTTCTCAAATGTTTGGTTTTCCTTTCTATATAAATTTAAGCAGTAAATTTATAGCCATTAATCTTTATATATTATTGTTAATGTACAGTGTTACCAACTTGTTGTCAGGTCTTAAAAAATCCTTAGAAAAGAGCAGGATAGAAATTTAGGAATTTGGCTTATATTATTCCTTGGAACTCAGCAAACTTTGTTGAAACTACCAGTTGTCCAGCTAGAGTTTTCAGACAATCTGGAGATGCAAGGCAGTAATTGAATAATTGAGTAATTGAGGCAGTAATTGCTGCAAAAGGGGCCCAAACCAAGTACTGAGTACATATGCATGCTTATACTTTTCAAAGGTCCGATATTGTTTTATGTACAATCCTTGTTTTATTAATTGCATGTAATATTCTAATTTTCTGAGATTGTGGATTTGGGATTTTCATGAGCTGTAAGCCATAATCATCTCAATTATGCCACATCATGGCTTGAACTACCTTGCTTTGCATGTAATGAGTCTATCTCATATATTAGGTTCACCTTTTAAGTTGCATTACTGAAATAAATGAACTTTTGCATGATATTCTAATTTTTCGAGTTTCACCTGTATAATGAAGACATTTATCTGATTCGAATGAGGCAAATACAGCTATTGTTCATGCTGATATAACATACCAGAATTGATTGGGATAGTAATTTATCGTTATACATCTACCTGTCCCACTGGAAGGGTGTGGGGGATTCAACTGTGGGTCCTTTCTCTTAAATGTCAATTGGTAGTACTTGTCTTGAGTATGAGTCTTTTTGTAGTTGCTCCTACTCTATGGAACAGACATCCTAAAGGTACAGAGGACCTACCCTACCTTCCTTGCCTTCCAGAAGGCCATTAAGACATGCCTTCCCTATTGGCTTAGTGAAGGGGAGCCCAGTATTTGTGGTTCTGTGAGAGGATTGCAATGGTGCATAGGAGTACAAAAGTTTTAAATTTTTTCAAATTTATTGTTTGTATATTTGTTGTTAGCTTCCCAGAGTTATGTTATATGATATGGATAGTCACACCGATATTTTAAATAGATGCATAAGTACTTGTGTAGCAGTTGAAAATTGTGGTGAAGGTTCTTCAATGTCCAGATATCATAAATGTGATCCATTTTAGAATTTGGGCACATGTGAATCTTATTCCCTCACCAACCCATTCATTCAGCAACTATTAAAAGTTTCAATGACACTGGATGAGTGATGATGATGATGATCAGTCCTCAAAGTTCTGGCTGTTGCTATGCCCTCACTGTCATATCATTGCCATTGGCAATCTTCCCTCCTGACTTTTCAAGCAAAGTCAATGGGGAACCCAGCAGAAGAGAATGCAGGTCACTCTGATCCACCACCCTGGCCTCCCTGTTCACACTATGGCCTGTGCTGGTTCTCCCAGTTTCTTCACCACCCCGCCATTCCCGTGCTTCTTACATCTTTCCTATTTACCCATGTGTCTCAGGATTGTGCCAACTAGAACTGCCAGGATTGCTGTCGCTAAACAACATGTTATGTGATGTCACACTTTACAACATCATCACCCAGCAACAGCAACCCTGGTCCAATTGCCATCAGAACTGGAAGATTACTTTCACTAAATTAACAGAAATTTGTGCTCTTTTTTTCCCATAGACAGTACATTGGCTATACATATTTTGTGTCACAAGTATTAAATGTATTATATGTAGGCATCTGACATACTCAAAAAGGGGTTACTGCTAACATTTCTTCCTCTGTAACCTATGTAGCTTACTAATGGAATGATAGAGTTTAAGTTACAGATAGTCCTCAACTTATGATCATAGTTGGCAATGAAATCTTAGTTGTGAGTGAAGTGGTCATTAAGCAAGACTGACAGAGTGAAAGGATGGGCAGGCAGCAACCTTCCATGTTTAAAAGGGAACTCCTGCAGCAGGCAGCAGAAACCAAACATAGACCCCAAATTTCCCATTCGTGCAACCCAGTTAGTATCCTCTAGTATCCTGGAGAAAAGGGGAAATCATTCAACAGGTAGTAGGAGCTTGCAGCCTTCCCTGCCAGCTTCCCCATTCAGTTTTTGGGAAAGCTGGCAGAGAATTGTACTTGGCAACCCATCATAAATAGAAGAAGCACTCAGTTCACGATCCTGTGTCTAGAGGGGCAGCATGGAGTTTTATGCACTCTTTCTGAGACTGTTGTAACTTTGAATGGTCATTAATCTTTGATTTGACAATGGTTATAAGTCAAGGACTATGTCTACCCGATTTTAGTTCACTGATAAAGTACAGAAGGCAAATGCACTGCCAGCTTCCTCTAGTGTCTGCTATGTTGCTGCCTTGAGAATAATCTCAATATTCTAAATAAAATCTTATTCTAAGTAAAATAAAGTAAAAGTAAATAAATCTTCCTACAACTCCTTCAATTCTTAGTTTTTGATTCCTGATTATCAGTGCCATTCTTCAAATTTCTTCTGCTTTTGCCAAGAAAACAATATAGTTGCGCCCATCTGGTGGGCAGAAGTTGACTCAAAGGAGTATTTATGTTTACTGATAATTGTAGTATATATAAATTTAAGTGCTAGTGTGAAATCTAACAATTCATGGCTTTCTTTTTCTCCCTGCAATCCTTGCATACCACAAGGCAGTTCTGTCAATGAAATGGACTTATTCTGTGTGTAAATAAAACATTGAACCATCACTATGTATGTATTTATTTTTTTATATTAAACTTAAGATCATAGTTTGAACCAAATAAGCTACAATAGAAATATTCAAATGAAAGAGATCTGTATCTATGTGTTTGTAAATATACAATGAAGCAATTGTCTCCAACATTAATTAATGTACACATTGATTCTAATTTTATGGGAAATAATTATTTTATTATCAAATTATTGAGCAATGTTTAAATAATATTAGATCTGTAGATCATAAATAGATTGCTTATTAAAACGAATAAAATAACAAAATTTTCATAGCAATTATTACTGCTTGTTCCAGCTGTCTCATTCAACTAAAACCCTTTCCTATGCCCTGTGCTGAAAAAACAGATTATGAAGGGAACTGGTAAAGCAAACAAGAAGGAATATTTGTTTCAAATCCTTTATGGATTGCTTTCCAATCTTCAAAGTTATTTCCTGGCTCCCTAAGTGCAGTATGTTGCAATTCTGTCACTTAATTTGACCAATAGCAAAAATGATCATCCTGACAGTGAAATAAATGTAAATTGTGGTGGAAGAGGCAAAATATCAATCAACTGTCATGTTAATATGTTCAAACATGAATTTATAAGTTGTAATTTGTTTTCTGATCGATGCAATTTTTCATAGTATTAGTATAATAAGGCTTTATATTAAAGTAAATATACCAGTATTCTAATGTTAGATTATGAACCACCTATGTTCTAGAAACAAGCAATGATAAACTATTTCTGTATAGTATATATACATAGAAAGCTCCATGAACAATCATTCAGATACTTGAATAGACTTGAGTGTACAGTGACCATCAACACATTGCGTTTTGATTTCAAAATGTTTGAATAGAGCCTAAGTTGACCCTTCCAGATTGTGTGCCCGATCATTCTTGTCAAATGTTTGTGGTTACCTAGTTGGAAAGATTGAAGAGGAGGAATGGCTAGTTACACTTCAGCTGTAAAGCAGTTTTTAGAATCTGGAGACACAAGATTGTATTGGCAAATGTTTTAAGTTTTATCAACTTAAATCATCCAGTCTTATACATGTAATGAAAACATCCAGGGAATAAATGAAGAAAAGGGATCAGATTTGAAAGCTTACATTTACCCCTTGTTAATATGTAATAAAGTGCAGGAGCAGACTACAACATATT